ATGTAGGCAATTTTATTACAGTATATAAAGGCCACAGGGAGTTTCTTGGTGCTTTAATTTATTTACTTTACCAGGATATTAATTTGTGGCCTAGGCATTAACATCGAAAACTTGAAATATGCAAGAGGTAGTCTAAACCCGAACACCCAAGATGAGTTATTGGCATTTAATTACTGGGGCAGTTATAGAGCTATAAACGAGCTCATCTCTGATTGCAGCCATAACCCATGCATTTCTGAATTGAAAGAAGGGATGACAGAAGGTAGCAATATAACAGGAGAATGTCCGTGAGTTGATTTTAATTGGCAAACTGGCAGTATATAGTGATAACTGTTTGGTCTCTCCACTGCATTGGAATCTAAGCCAAGTGCATAAAATTACAGGAGAATATAATTGGTGTGCTAAACTCATTTTCCTATGTTATCACAGCTGGCATCTTCAGGTTATTTAAAGCTTTTAAACCAGTCATCTTCAAAGAGATCTAATTGTCAATACCATCTTTATACATTATTCCTGTTAGCACAGAGCAAAAGAGATATAAATAGGTACTAAAAACTGCACATATTTTCTGTGCACAGCTTTCCTATTTCAAGTTCATGGAAGACCAGTAAATGTTAATGAGGATAAAAACATTCTTTAGATCATGGTTTCCTCATTCAATGCACAGGACAACCAACCATCAAGGATGTATTATTAACATTATAATCTGAATCAGACTTTTAAAAATAGTTAATTCATTTTTTCCAGGAAGTTCTATGATCTTTTCGTGTATAATTGGCCTACAAAAAGGGCTGTTTCCTGTGGTATAAATGATATATCAGAACCAGGAAATTTAAGCTCAGGGTCTGACATTCTTGGGTGAGCATTATAATGTTGTTTTACCTATTTATTCTGGTTGGACAGTCGAATGACACTTCTAGAAGTGTTTTTACACTCTAACCATCATTCATTCAACTTGCCACCACACACTCACTCAAAGAGACTTTTTTTTTCCTCCCAGCAGGAGAAGTAGAATTAAAAAAATAAAACAAAACAAAACAAAACAAAAATACACCCTCTTCCCCATGTTATCCTTGAATAAGGAAAGAAATCCCAAAACAGGAAGGGGTGCCAAATAGGAAGACCAGATATGAGGAAGGGTAAAGTGGTATCAGGCCCCTGGGTGGCACAAAACGTTTGAATTGGCTGCCCAACTAAAGGTTGGTGGTTCAAGCCTGCCCAGAAGTGCCCCAAGAGAAAGATCTGGTGATCTGCTTTCATAAAGATAGCCAAGAAAACCCTGTGAATCAGTTTTACCATGTAACACATGGGGTTGCTGTGAGTCAGAACTGACTGGACGGCAGTGGGTTATGGTGGTGTCAGCCTAGCATTAATGATTATTAAAGATTGACTACAGGCTTATTTTATATGAAATCTATGTTATTTTAGGTCATACCACCCAGGAGTATGAAATGTAATGAGTTAAAAATAACGGACAAATCCCATGCTGTCTTTGGAATCCAGACACTGAAGTCTGTCAACTCAACTTCCATTAGAAAGAATTCTCAACCCAGAAGGCCTCTCAGCCTCTCATGTAAATAGAATATATTTCTCTGGTCTCCCAATCATGTCTGAATACAAGATGTGGTGCAGTTTGGGCTTAAACTGGGATCTGCCCTATGTATGTATGTATGTATGTATGTATGTATTAACCTCCAGATTATTTTTTAGTACTAGATGACAAAATCATTTTCTTACCAAACTCCATCTTAATCCCAGAATCACAGATCACTAGCTTGGTCCAGCTGGGTATATAATCCAATACACTGGGACTCAGTCACCCCTTAATTCATGGAATCTCATGGGTAATCTGGATTCTGGATTTCAAATCACTGCACGCATTTATTTTCTTATTTTTTTTACCACCTCTTTACTTTTTTTACTATTAAAATGTACTGTAAGTAACAAAGGTCACAATATACTTGAATGTAAGCATTCAAAACAAAGCGTTTATTTATTAGTCACGATGTTAGGATATCCCCATTGCACATACTCCAGCTTGGAATGTCAGTAAATGCTTTTTGCTGTCTATATGTAGGATTATTTTAAGACCACTACATTTTAATGTTATTGCTGCAGCTGTAACAGACATCAGCTACCAATTATGATGTTTTATTTACTTTATATATCAAGAAAAAAAGCCATTAGTTTATAATTTTTTACTACTTCTCAGTTACATTGTGATAAGATACCAACCAGTTAATAGCTTTCAGGATAAAATCTGGAAAAAATTAGCTGAATTAATAATCTTGATAATTTTAAGATGAAATAACCCTTTGTTCTCAAATTTAAATACTTCATATTTTTAGTATGTTTGTGAGTTAAGAATAGAAAGTCGTGGCAAATTCCAGGATAATGGGGTTTTCTTTACTTTAAGCAAAGCATTAAGTCTGAACATAGTGCAATAAACTTCAGAAAGTAGAGCGCCTCCTATTGCTCTGGACACACACAGTCATATTTAGTCCACTGTGAGCTTTGCTATTTTTCTTACTGCCTACCTTTCCTCTTTTAGCAACAATAATAATTGTAACAGTAAAAATATAATAATATAGACATGATATTAGCATTTTAGTGGGAACTAGGCATTTCTATAAATAGGATTTCTAGATAACTGAACTTTATATATCGGTTAAAGTGAAAAGGCGTTAAATGTTTTTGATGGAAATATTTATAAAATAATTACATATTACCAGGTTTTAACATTTTCTTGATGACTAATTGTTTTGAGCTCTAAATCACTAATGCTCCTTGGGTTTAGTTAGTCATTCTATTCATTCATTCATCCATTGAACAAGTATTTATTGAGTGTTACTATGTTCCAATCACTGTAAAAAGTGCTAGAGATACAGCAATGAACAAAACATACAAAGCCCCGAGGCCTGGTGGAACTCACATTCTAGCTGGTATGTGAGATGTTTGCCTCTACAACAAATGGGCTCCAACTGTTGTGTTTTGGGCTGGCCTGCCTCCTTCCTCTGCTGTCAGCTATCACCTCTTGCTGGCAACCTGTCTCTCCTTCTGACCTGGATTACCATCACAGGTCTTTTCCCTAAACTAGTAATAAACCATATCCTGGATGGATCCTATAATGGTTAATTTTATGTATCAGCTTGGCTAGGTTATGTTGCCCAGTTGTTTGGTTACACACTAGTATAGATGTTGCTATGTATTTTGTAGATGTGATTAATATCTACAATCAGTTGACTCTAAGTAAAGGAGATTACCCTCAATAATGTGGGTGAGCCTCATCTAATCAGTTGAAAACCTTAAGAGCAATAATTGAGGTTTCCCAGGAAAGAAGCAATTCTGCCTCAAGACTGTGACATAGAAATTTCCTGCTCAGCCGGCCCCAGGGATTTTGGATTTTCCAGTCTCTACCATTGGGTGAGCCAATTCCTCAAAATAAATCTATTGGTTCTGTTTCTCTGGAGAACCCTGGCTGATACAGAGCCCAAGCAGCTCATCATTTCTTACTTTAGATGTGCTGTTCCTTGCCCTTCCAAGGAGTCTCCCACCCCTACTCCCAGAGTTTGGGGTCTTCCTTTGTTCCCTTTCTTTGTTAGTGTGGCTCAATTCTAATGACCTGGTTCAATTATCAGATCCATACGTCTCTGTGCCATTTTTCTGGGGAAGACGAATGCATCTACATGCAAATGAGACTCTTGGAAGACTAGCCATCACCAAGTCATATACATTACAGTAAGACCTGCGAAAGCCGGAACCTGGGTAAGGCAGAAACCTGTTAGAGAAGGAAAATGCAAATACATATTTTCCAATAAAACGAGTGATAGAAAAGTGGTAAGACTGCACCCTGTCAAAGGTGGAAAGCTTGTGAGACCCAGAAAAACAAGGCAGTCCCATCAAGTTCCGGCTGTCACAGTTTCACTGTAATATTAAAATGCAAAATATTATCTTCCTCATGGTTGTGGTAGCTTACCTGATAATTCTCTGAGCCTACCCAAAAACTTAAAAAAGTAGACACCAAACTTTTCATAAGGGGGGAAAATTAGGTTTCCATACACTGCCATGTTTTGCCCATTGCTGAAAACTGCCCATTAGGGGTGCAGGGAGTGGAGCAAATTCTGAGATGCCTTTAATGGAATGGTGGAGACCAAGATGAAAATGGAGCCCTGGTGGTGCAGTGCTTAAAAGCTGAGGCTCCTAACCAAAAGGTCAGCAGTTCTAATCCACCAGCCACTCCTTGGAAACCCTATGGGATAGTTCTACCCTGCTCTATAGGGTCACTATGAGTCAGAATCGACCTGAATGGCACACAACAACAAGATAGAAAGGAATATCACTCACAGATTCATCAGACATCGGAGCTGGAAGGGATCACCATGAGTGGCAATGAAGAACAGTGGTTAAGAATTCCAGTTCTGAGACCAGATTGCCTAGCTATAACCCTTAAAATCATCTGAACTTGGTCAAGATACTTAACATCACTGTGCCTTAGTTTACTCATCTGTAAAATAGTACATACCTCCCAGGACTGTGGGGATTAAATGAATTAATACAGGCAAAATGCCTCATATTGTGCCTGGCACAGAGTAAGTACTTGGTAAAGGATAGCTCTTCTTATCCTAATCTCTTCACTTATTTTACAGGTGAAGAGAAAGGCCCTAAGATTTTAAGTGACTAGCAAGTTAAAAATAAAAGCATTGTTATAACCAGGTGTCCTGATTCTCACCATATTACACAGATTGTTTTCTGATATCCTGCTTACTTAACAAAAGGGAAGAAATGAATGCCAAATCATTTAAATGCTCACAAACAGGTTACTCAGTTTTACCGAAGTCCCTCTTCTCCTCTGAAACTGAAATATTCAAAACACACCTTTCCCCAGTTCTATTCTCCCAACTCCCAGTCATCAGAACTAATTAGAGGCAAGTGACGAAGGGTCAGGAGGCTAAGTGAAGTTTAATTTTACGCCCCAACAGGGCAACCATTTCATTTCTTACCTTAAACTTGTCAACTTCAGCTTTTGAACATGTCGCATGGTAGGACAGCACCTGATTCAGAAGAAAAGAAAAAATCTTTAATAACCAGACTTGATTATATTTTCTGAAATTCTCCTGGTTTAATAATAAGGTTTGTTCATGTATATCACCCTGACATAACAGTGGGTTTTAATGTACAAGAATGTTCTGATAACAGTCTGTGACACAGATGGTCTTCTGTACAATTAAAGTGGAATTCCTTATAATAGTGAATGGAACTACCCCACATTAAAGACTAAGTATTTTACACCAGGCTTTTTCTATAGGTGGAAACCCTGGTGGCGTAGTGGTTAACAGCTACGTCTGCTAATCAAAAAGTTGGCAGTTTGAATCCACCAGGCACTCCTTGGAAACTCTATGGGGCAGTTCTACTCCGTCCTATAGGGTCGCTATGAGTCGGAATCGACTCAACGGCAATGGGTTTTTTCTACAGGTAGTTATCTCATCAGGGAGACATGATGTGGCTCAAGACCATAGTTCCCAAAAGATATGAATACTTGTCCTGGAAAAAAAGAACAAAGGGAGAGAAAGAGTGTGTGTGTGTGTGTACACATGTGCACACATGCTCTCTGGCAGACATAGTAGACTGTTGACTCAACTTCCACTCTTCTGTTCTCACTTGCCTGCTTTTATTATATAGGAAATATTATATTGTTATGATGAATCATTTGCTGCCCTCTTTATAAGAGGGTTGTATTTCCCTGCCCTATTGATGTCAGCGGAGCCCTGGTGGCACAGTGATTAAGTGCTCGGCTGCTAAATGAAAGGTTGACGGTTCAAATTTATCAGCTACTCCTTGGGAGAAAGATGTGGCAGTCTGTTTCCGTAAAGATTACAGTGTTGGAGACACTGTGGGGCAGTTCTACTCTGCCCTATAGGGTTGCTATGAGTCAGAATCGACTTGATAACAGTGGGTTATTGATGTCAGGCTTAAAATGTAACTTTCTTTGGCTAACGGAATGTGGGGGAAGTGATGGATGCTGCTTTTGAGCAGAGTCTTTAAGAGCCTTTACATGGCTCTGCCATCTCCCTTTTCCCCACCATGAGAAAGCATGGCCACGCGAGGGACTGTTTCCTCAGCCTGGGTTCCAGAATAAAGAAGATACATTAAGCAGAGCCTCCGCCAACCCACAGCTGATGACATGTCATGTGAGCAAGACTTCAACCTTTGTGTTTTATCACCACACCATAACTTACTGGTACAGAGGCTTAAAAGTTCTAAATCCAAGTTGCAGTCTCTCTGCTGCTGGGGCTGGTCATGTGGGGTGACCATATGATACTGCTCTGGTCAACGAAATGCAGGTGGAAGTGTTAGGGCTGCCTCTTCCCTTTCCTTTTTCTTCCTTCCTGGAATACAGCTGAATGACCTGGAGTTGCAGCAAAATCTGGTGTCTATGAGGGAACAGCCATGAGTGTGGACGCCAGCTTTTTACAGTCAGTGGAGCAGAAAGGGAAAGAGAAATAAGCCTGGACTGCCCTGCACCAAACTTCTTGTTTCATGGGAGAAATACACACTTGTTCATCTAAGCCAGTATTAGTATGCACATATGTACACATACACACATAAAAGGTATATATGTTATATACTGCAAAACCCATTCTTAAGCTATACAAATTTCAAACAAAAAACTCTGGGAAATGCTAAATCCTTCTTTCTCTACCAGCCTAAGAGAATCACAGTGCACATTTGGCTCTGAGAAGTAAAGTAACACATTTTGTTTTGTTAAACTCAGCATTTCCCAAATTCAGCTGGTCACAGTACTCCCTTTGAGCTAATGTATTAATCTAGTAACATTTCAACCTAACAACCTGTTGACCTAGAACTTTGAGAAGTGCTAACCAAGAGCACACACTATTTGTGTGATACATGCAGGGCTACAATGAAGGCAGTGTCTCAGAGTGGTTAGAACACAGGCTCCGGAGCCCGACTTCTAGGGCTCCATCACTTTCCTAGCTGTGAGAGTTTGGACAAGTTACTTAACCTCTTTGGGCCTCATTTGTAAAATGGTATAATAACTACTATACAGGCATCTCCTGTTTAACATCAGTATGTATTCTTGAAAACCAGAGGTTCCAACTGAAAACACTAACTGGGAACCTAGTTTCCATAATTTTTAATTGGAAAAAATATATAATGCATTGTAAGACCTCCAACAACTCCCTAAAACTTAAATAAAAGTTAAAAATTTGTACGTACCTTTAAAACAAAATATGTTAGGCTATAAATTGTTTAAAATGTTACTTTCTGATCAAAATATAGTTCTTAACAAAAAGTTGCTTTATATTCAGTAATATCTTCCATCATAAAAACCTTTCTCACCCATTTTACTTCTTTCTCCATTGTTTTCTTCAACACTTATCACCTTTGGGAGGGACCTTATTGTACAATGCTAAGCAAAAACAAGAGCTAAATACTAAAAGCATGGTGGAAACACATTCAGGACAAGTACTTTGATGGCAGAAAATGTCTTTCTCAGGGCTAGCAACATCTGAGATGCACATCCTCATAGTTAAACTCTAGGTGCTTTTCAAAATGATTCTGGTGGTACTTCCACCAATTATATTTGGAGCGTACATCTAAACTTATCCTATACATCATTTTGTTAAAGTGGTACAGAGTTTAAGGGACATAAATATAACTTTTTCCAATATAAGCAAAGGCTCAAAAATGTTGTATTGAGAGATAAGTATGATCTACAAGGTTTGGCTATTAAAAACCAAGAGATTTTCTACTGGGGAAATGTTAATTATGGAGATGTTCTGTGGGGGAGGCCTATCTTTGAGACTTCTTAGGAAGATTAAATGTGATAATACATGTCAAGAACCTGGTGTATAAATAATCAACTTATGTTTATTATATTAATATTCAATTAAAATTGTACCATGTAAATATTTGGCAGAGTATTATACCATCGTATTACCATTATTTTCATGGTCCCATAATTATTAATAGGTATTTTCAATGCAAAAATAACTGAATGGATTTTGTTCTTGTGGTTTGGTCTTAGTATGGTAACTTTAATTTGGCTGTCATCTTGTTAGAATTTCTTACTGCACAAGTCTCTTTTTGAAGATTCAATCTTCAAAATTTATCTTTATGTACCTTAAAAAAAAAAATCCCACAAAACCTCAAGCTGCAAAATCTCAAACTGTAATTCAAAATCTCTGCCACCAGATGGTGCTTAGCCAGACCCAGACAGTAAGGCATACCAATGCCGTCCTCCCTCCCTTTTTTCAATCAATTTTCCCCCAACTTCCTTTCTTGTTTAAAAAACAAACAACAACAAAAAAAAAAACACTAATGCCGCTAAACTAGAAATATCTGAATCACTGAAGCACACAATTATTACAGTTTTAGATTTTTTCCTATTTTGAGTTGTGGGAGTCCTTTGTATATTTTAGATAAAAGTCCTTTGTCAGATGTATGTTTTGTAAATATGATCTCCCATTCTGTGATTTGTCTATTAATTTTAGTAAGCCTGTTGTCTATTAGTTTCAAATGTTGATGAAGTCTAACTTGTCAATATTTTCTTTCATGGTTACTGTTTTAAATGTCTTGTCTAAGAAAATTTGACTACCTCCAGGTTACAAGTATATATCTTATGCTTTCTTCTGGAAAATGTAGAGATTTATCTTTTATATTAAGTTCTATGACCCATCTGGAATTAAATTTGTGAATAGTGTGAGATTAAGACATTAAAGAAATAAATGCCTTGGTTACTTTTTCATGATTTTAAATTTCCCTAGATCATAACCTGGAGCCAGAGCCCTTTTGGAGTTTACCCTGAATTTTAAGCATCTCTACTACCTAAGCTATTAAGTATATAGAAATACCTTTGTTTTATTTTATTTGACAAAGTTAAAAATAAGGAAATTCTTAGCTTACCTTTTGAATCTTCTCATTCTCAGAGTTCCAGATTCCTTTTGTAGGACTCTCAAACCCAGCTTATTAGGGGGCAGAGGAGGAGCCTGGCTAAAGAAACCTTCAACCACCTTCTCCTGAATAAATACAATCCCTTACGGATAAGCAGGGAGGAATCAAGGGGTTTTCCCTCTGGGGCCCCATCAGCTAATAAGAGCACATTGTTCCTGCAGGATGGAGGATTGCAGCAATATAATGCCCTTGGAGAATCCCTAGAAAAGCCAACAAGCTAGAGAAGCAGATTCCTCATAAGAAGATCCTTGAGTCTTGCTTAAGAATACTCTAATCGGACATAAAAGACCTAGACAATGAAAACTACAAGATACTGCTTCAAGAAACCAAAAGAGACCTGCATAAGTGGAAAAACATACGTTGTGAAAATGTCTATTCTACCCAAAGTGATCTACAGATACAATGCAATCCCGATCCAAATTCCAATAGCATTTTTTAACGAGATGGAGATACAAATCACCAACTTCATATGGAAAGGAAAGAGGCCCTGGATAAGTAAAGCATTACTCAAGAAGAAGAACAAAGTGGGAGGCCTCACACTATCTGATTTTAGAAACTATTATACCACCACGGTAGTCAAAAGAGCCTGGTACTGGTACAGCAACAGATACATAGACCAATGGAACAGAATTGAGAATCCAAACAGAAATTCATCCACCTATGAGCAGCTGATATTTGACAAAGGCCCAAAGTCCATAAACTGGAGAAAAGACAGTCTCTTTAACAAATAAGCTGACATAACTGGATATCCATCTGTAAAAAAATGAAACAAGACCATACCTCACACCATGCACAAAAACTAACTCAAAATGGATCAAAGACCTAAATATAAAATCGAAAACAATAAAGATCATGGAAGAAAAAATAGGGACAATGCTAGGAGCCCTAATACATGGCATAAACAGAATACAAACCATAAGTAACAATGCACAAACACCAGAAGAGAAACTAGATAACTAGGAGCTCCTAAAAATCAAACACTTATGCTCATCAAAAGACTTCACCAAAAGAGTCAAAAGACAACCTACAGACTTGGAAAAAAATTTTGGCTATGACAAATCCAATCAGCGTCTAATCT